ATTGATTTTCTGTCTGGATGATCTATCCATTGATGAAAGTGGGGTGTTAAGATACCCTACTATTATTGTGTTGTTAATATCTCCTTTTAGGTTTGATAATAGTTGCTTTATGTACTTTGATGCTCCTGTGTTGGGTGCATATATATGTATAAGTGATATGTCTTCTTGGTGGCATGTCCCTTTTATCATGATATATTACCCCACTTTGTCCCTCATTCTTGTTTTATCTTGAAGTCAACTCTGTCTGATATGAGTATGGCAACACCTGCTCTCTTTTGTTTGCCATTAGTTTGGAGTATTGTCTTCCATCCTTTCACTCTGAGCTTGTGTTTGTCTTTAGAGCTGAAATATGTTTCCTGGTGGCAGCATATTGTTGGATCTTGTTTTTTTAATCCATCACATCACTCTGTGTCTTTTGATAGGAGAGTTCAGTCACTTATATTTAGGGTAATTATTGATATACGAGGGCTTATTGTTGCTATTTTATCACTCATTTTCCAATTCTTTTGCATTTCTTTTGTTTCTCGTCCTGTGTGTTTCAGGCTACCAATTCAGTTTGGTAGTTCTGTATGGGGGTTCTCTTAGTTTTCTTTTTATTTATCGTGTGCGACTCTGTTCTGATTATTTGGTTAGCGGTTACCATGAGGTTTGTGGATGTTATAGTCCATTTTTTGATGGCCTCTTATTCCCTTAAATAGATTTGATCCCTTTCCTATTCCCCTTCTAAGTTATTGTTGTCACATCTTATTCCATCTTGTGTTGTGAGTTTGTGTTTAAAGTGATGAGATTATATTTATTTTTAGTGTTTTCCTTCCCTTAATCTTTGGTTTTATTACTAAGTGTTTACTAATCTACTCTGATAGAGAGCTGTGATTTTTCTGGTTTTTTAAATGTATTTTCCTCCTTGTTCAAAATTTCGTATCCCCTTTCTCTTTTTTTCTCAGGCATGAGTGTCTTCTTGAGGACTTCTTGTAGTGGGGGTCTTGTGGCAATGATCTCCCTTAGTTTTTGTTTATCAGAGGTAGTTATTATGTCTCCACCATATCTGAAGGATATTTTCACTGGATAGAGTATTCTTGGCTGAAAATTTTCGTCTTTCAGAATTTTGAATAAATTATTCCACTCTCTCCCAGCCTGTAAATTTTCTGTATAGAAATTGGCTGAGAGCCTGATAG